AGGAAGGACTTAGTGTGATAGTAGAGTTTTCCCCGAGAAGAACCCTTCTCTGCTTATGGCCTGGACCTGAGCCACACTGCATGACTTCTTATTCTCCAAGTCCTTCCTCACCAACTTCTCCCCTCCCCCTTGCTTACGTTGTACCTTCCTCATGGGCTGGCCTTCCCGGTGTTCTGGACGTGTTCTGTCCACTCATCCACATCCTCTCCCCTACCTCTCCACCCTGCCCTGCGCCCTTGCGAGGCTGGCCTCTCTGAGTTGCATAAACAGATTCCTTTGCCTTGTGATCCCCAGTCTGGTTCCCCAACGGAAAGCACTGGCTGGAGACTGGAAGGCACAGGCAAACAACATGAAGAATCTCCTCTTCCGATGCCCTTCTGGCCAGAGTGCGGCAGGCTGGCACTCCTCTCTACCCAGAGTCACAGCTGCTGCCAGAAAGCCCTCTCCATGCAGCCACTCTCTTTAGGTTCCAGAGCCACTCCCTCCTCCTGACCCTACAGGCCAAGGATGGAAATAGCTCCCCAATGTGACAGCCCTGGCCTTGCTGGTTGTCCTACACTGTTGTAAATAACCAATACTGTTGTAAATAGCCTCTCCTTCAAAATAGCTCCTCCTTCGACTCTCCTGAATTATTCTGTTTGAATGTGCCATCTGGTTCCTGCCAGGACCCTCTGACTGATGCAGACTGCATCTCTACCTCTCAGCGTGCTGCCCAATGCCTGTTCAAATCAGGCCTGCTCTACTGACTTGCCTTGTTTTCTCGAGACAGAATCAATCTCTGCTTCTTGGGTCTCCTGCCACTGTCTGTCACTAAAACCACAGCTCAGAATGTCTTAGGTTTGAATATGACTCCCCCAATAAAGTGGAGGCCCTTCAATGGTGAGGAATATGCCTCCATTGCTGCCAACGTCCCTAGTGAATAGCAGAGAGGCTGGCAAAGGGAGATGTGCCCAATAAATGCCTGTTTAGAGGATAGAAATACTCACCATGTGGTTCCCTAAAATGACTTGGAATAAGATATAAGCATAAAGTTGGGCTGTGTAGTACTCAACCCCAAGACCATCGAGGCCACCTTCTCCACCATTTGCCATAACCCTGGCTATAGCCTCCGTGTGCATGCCTCAGGTGATGGGGAGCTCACTCACCTGCAGAGAATTACTCCCCTGGAAGGAATATTCTCATAAGAAAAGGCCTTGCCTGTTACTCAGTTCAACACTGCCTCCTGTGATTGAAACACTCCAGTACCAGCCATGGCTTAGAAACCATACGGAATAATTATGCGCCATTTTCCACGGAACATGGCTTCTGATACTTGAAGTGCATGTGTCATAGGCCTGTGGTCCTTGTGAGAATTTTCTTATCCAGGCCGAACATCTTCAAATGGTTACATGACACGGCTCCTGGCCCCCTCACTGTCCCAGTCCCCTTCTTTGTGCTCATCCTCAGGTGGTTGTGCTTATCATGGCCTCTTAATAAGAAAACTCGCTGCTGGTGTGGCTCAAGGAAACCCAAGGCCATTATCCAGTTCTCCTCCAAACCCACTCTCTCAGCACTTCGTAATCCCAAGCTCTCTAGAGCAGTTGGGAAGAAGAGAGTGAGAACAGAAGGCAAAGAGCAGGTCTCTGTGGCCTGCAAGGATGTCTGGGCATCGCTGGGGAGCTGTGCACTGCAGACAACCAGGATGCAGGGATCTATAGCCCCCTTAACCCCCGCATGACCACTAAGAGGCCATGTGAGCTTTGGCCTTCAGTTCCCTCTATAGAGGATGTTTCTGAGTCTGCAGCCCCAGATCTGCTAGGGCTGGATGCTCTCCTATAACACAGGGACCCAAGGACTATTAGATAACAAGTGTGTTTAAATGTGTTGAAAGACATTGTACTTCTCTGATGGAGTCTGCCAATCTGCCCAGCTGCATTATGGGTGGATCTTATTTTACTCAGGAGAATCGCTACATAAATTGTCACAATGATGAAATTTCACTGGGGCTACTCAGAGTAGGCAATGGACCAACTATTTCTCACCAGTCTATTGCACACTGAGTACAGAAATGGGGAGTGAGCCCTTAGATACATGTACAGAACTCAGACGCTGCTTCACCATGCTTGTGGTATTTCATTTTATATCAATTCACTTTTGCTGTATATTACAAAGGTACTGTTTTGTAGCATATAGAAAAAACAAAACCTGGCCCTTCACCATAGATTGAGAAGAAGCAACTGAAATATTGTCTTTTCATATATATATATATATATATATATATATATATATATAGAGAGAGAGAGAGAGAGAGAGAGAGAGAGAAGAGAGAGAAGAGAGAAGAGAGAAGAGAGAAGAGAGAAGAGAGAAGAGAGAAGAGAGGGAATGAGAATGAATCACCTTGGGCAAGAATTAAGTTGAGCTCTTTATTACAAATTATCTACATAATGTCAATCTAATTTTCACTGTATCACAGGTGCCCATCTTCCTTCCTTCTTTCCTTCTGTCATTTCTTCTGCCCACCTCTGTTTTGAAAAGTCACAAAGTAAAAATTTCTCTACAAACTTCCACAGGTTTCTCTCTGCACACAGGAGATCTGATTCCGCCAGAATGCTGTCACCCCCAACCTGCCAGGAGATAGCTGTGCCCCGGAGGGGCTCACCCAGGGCACACGACTTTCTGAGCCAGCAAAGAAACAGGCCCTGGTGGGAGTGGTCACAGCACTGGCATAGGACCACTCACAGGCATGCTGGGCATGCAGCCCCATGACTTAGGAAAGAGGAGGCCACTGGAGCCTGCCAGTTCTGCCTGCTGATGGTGAGGTATCTGGGACCTGGAGCCCCACGGTCCCCGACACCAGCACAGTGTGCCCTCCACAAAGGCTGGCTGCCCTCAGTCCTGACCCAATCCCACTCAACAGTTTTCTCCCAAGGCTTTAGAGAAGCTGTCCTGCCTGCCAACTCTGTCCTTTAACTCTGCCACTTACTGTTCCTTGGACTTAAAAATACCCTCCTTCAGTGGGAGCTTTGGAGTCCAGGGATCTGAGTTCAAATCCAAGCTCTCCATTGAGTAGCTGAGTGAACTTGAGTCAATCCCTTCACCATTCTGAATCCTGAATTTCCTTCAGGAAAAGAGGGTTCAGGCTACCCACCTTCTTGGGACTTGGTAGGTGCTAAATAAACATGTGCTGCATAGATGCAAGAATGGATGCAAGAATGGATAGATGAATGAATGAATGAATGAATGGGTGAATAACTTCTACCTATTTCTGGCCCTTTGCTCTTCCCCATGCCCACTCTGCCTGGGTACACTGGTAACCCCTGGGAGTCTAGCTCAGCAGAGTATGCACTGCATTAATCTTGGAAGACTTGCATTTGTGAATTAACCAAATGACTTTCCTGACCCATGACCTTGACCAAGTCATTTCACTCTCGAAATTCCTCTCTTTTCCTGTCCATCAAAGGCAAATGCTAACTAACCTCTGTCTTGTCTTCCTTGCCAAATTCTGTCAAAGCCCAAATGAGAGCAGAGATGAAAGGGCATCATGACCTGGAAGGAACTGGCCACACACCACGGCTGCTTCCCACATGGGCTGCTCATGTGTTGAGCCAAGGTGAGAGTCCAGGGCCCTCCTGGTGCCAGGAGGCTGAGCTGACGTGCTCTCTGGCTTGCTGCCAGGCATCGTCATTCCTTTGCACATAGGTATTCTGTCTGTACATGGGCGGCCCTTGCTCTTTGGAGAGAGACATAAAGAGGGGAGTCAGCAGAAAACCTGCCGAGGTCTGCAAATGCACCCGGGCTATCAGCAGGTCCAGGGTCCTGTGTGCGGACAGAATGGAAAAGTTCAGCCCGAATCTGGGACATCGGAGAGTGGATGCTGACTGTTTCTCTGGCTTGAAACTAGTTCTTCCTGGTCTCACGTAGAATATAAATCATCCAGGGGTTCACCTTTGGGTTTCTCCTTTGCGTTCCTGGTGAGAGTTGGTAGCATAAGGTAGAGGCTAAGGGGGCATTAGATAGAAGACGCTTCTACCCTCTTCTCAGCAGGACAGGAAGAAGTGCCTCTCCCCAAGGGCCCTCCTTTCTCCCCCAACCCAGTCTCTGATGTGCAAGTTGTACCTGCACCTTCCCCAAACACTCATGCTGCAAGTGAGTCTTCTCTGTGATGTCCCATGGCACTCCCTGACCACAGCACCTGCTCCCTTTATCATACAAAGAATGACAGATACACTCAATGAGCGCATATTACCTGCTAGCCACTACAAGAGATGATGCTTTATGCAAGGGTGGGCACAGGAGGTTTACGGTTGTGAGTATGTGAAACACAGCTGATTCTTGTGTTATTATGACCACAGCCTGCATGCTTTTTCCATACAAACAACTGTGATCCTACTTTTGCCCACCCCTGCATGCCCTCTCTCAGTCCTCAGAGCAGCTCAGCAGAGTGAGCACCATGATTGTTCCCATTGCACAGATGAGGAAGTGGCTTCCAAGAGGTCACCAAGTGAGGAAATAGTACCACAGAGATCTGACCCTGGCTTTATTCACACTGCCCAACCGACCACACCGCTCTGTCCAGTACGGGAGCCCCATACGGCTGTGTACTTGAAATGCAGCCAGTGTGGCTTAGGAACTGAATTTTCAGTTTTATTTCATCTTAATTTACATGTGAATAGTCACAGGTGGCTGGACAGACAGGACAACTCTAGCCCACTCTACCACGTACGCTTCAACAGCTGTTTGTACCCAGCTCATGCCACCCAATTTAGACTGTGAGCTCTTTGAGAAGACAGGGTCCTGACCGTTCCTTCTTATCCCAGAGTAGGCAGTCAACACATCTTTGTAATGGATGATGCTCGATGTGGTCCCCAAGATCACATGAGTAACAGCCTGGTCTCAGTCACAAGGCTGCCGTGTGAGCTGGAAAATTCCCAGGACTCCCAGGGGCCTCAGGGCACATGCCTATAAAATGGGGGGAAGCTCAGCTCTCAGCTGGGCATCACCACCTGCCCAGCGGGTCTTACCTGTGTGGAGAGTCAGGATCGAAGCATGTCTGGGTGACATCTGTGATGTCGGGGTCACAACACTCCCCGCCGTCGAAGTTGAACCGTTCGTAGTTACAGTCCATGTCACACACTCCATTCTGCTGCTTCTTCATGAAGGCGGGGTGGCGCAGGTGGCGGCAGTCCCCACCGTCGTGGCCGGTCAGCGTGTGGTTGCACTCAGGGTCGCAGTTCTCGTCCCCGATCTTGCTGATGTCGCAGTTGGCCAGGATGAGGCGGTGGCGCAGGGAGGAGTTGCTCACCTCTAGCACCTCCAGCTCCCAGGAGATGTTGTAGGGCTGGAAGGCCTCGGCCAGCTGCTGGTGTTGGAGCTCGATTTGCTGGCGGCTCACCGTGGGGTTCTCGTGGCTGTCGTCATGGAGGTTGACCACGCGGTAGCGCACCACCTTGGGCCGGCGGAAGCGCGGCAGCTGGTTGTAGCTGGCAATGACTTGCGCGTTGTCGCACAATGTCTGCCCGCACAGAGGGGGCTCCAAAGTGGTGTCCAGCAGGAAGCTGTGGGCACCGCTGAACTCCACCTGGGGGCTGTGGCCGTCCTTCATGGGGGACCAGGTGCGCTTCACATTGTCCCAGTTCTCCTGTAGGAGGAGCTGAGGTAGAGGCGTGTGGAGGCCATGGGTTTCCATGTCCAGCAGGACCTCCCGCTGGGTCCTGGCCACCTTCCACAGACTGAAGCGCTCGATGTAGCCCCGGTAGTTGTGATTCAGGGTGCTGCCCCCCAACATGAGCACTTTACACTTCTGAGTCAATGGGCTGAATATGCCACCCACCTGATCCCCAGAGGTCGCCACCTGGGCACCATTCACATAGAGCTTCATCAGCCGCCCATCGTAGGTGGCAGCTAGGAATACCCACTGGCCAGGGAGGTAGCTTTGGTGGGCATTGATGGTGGTCACTTGCCGGGCCCGGTCCGTCTTCAAGGAGAAAAAGTAGCGTGGGTCTCTGTTGCCTTGGTCACTGATGGTGTGAATGCCCACGACCCATCCTCGGTCACGTGAGGTATAAGAACACTTGTCATACAGCCCTATGTGGCCCCAAAAAAGAAAGATGAATAAATAAAAGATGGAAAGAAAGGGGGTTACGTTATTTTGTTGCGATAAAACTTATATCAGGATGTCCTAGACCAATCGTCTTCAAATTGGCAGTTACTACTGGAGCCTCTGGGACCACCCCCAGGCCAAGGCAAGGGCTAGAGAAAATGAGAGGACAGGGGAGTTGGGTTGGGGGCTTCTCACCATAACTGTAACCCAAGTGGATGCACTTTAATTGGTTTTGCATATGGAACACACAGAGAAACATTTTTGTTTGAAGAATGGGTACTTGAGCTAAAGAAAACAATGACAACACCACCAATAATGATCATTCAAATCCAAAAACCTTTGACTCTGCAAAGCTGTTCTATGGGAAAGAGGGCTTTCTAATTAATAGGGTATTTTAAGTATGAAATGATATGGGAGGTCAGAGGAGAAACAGAGGGAGATAATAATGAATAGAAGGTGTTCATTTAGTAGGACAGCTCCTCCTACGGTCGCCATAACTTTGAGTGCACATCAGACATGAGCAGCCAGCCATCCAGTGCTCGGTGGTGGTGAATTGTTGGGAAAGCCGGCCTGCAGAGGTGGGGACAAGGAACCCCATTGTTTCTCTCTCTAACAGGAGTCTGGCCAGACCTGACACTTATGCCAAAGAAAGGCAGCAATGCTGACTGGCTGAACTGGAAATGTTTTCAGAGATCACCACTTTCAACTCCTTCACTCGACAGCTTAGAGTCTCGAGACCCAGAGAGTGGAAGGCATTTGTCAGGTAACACAGAGTCACGGACCAATTTCCTGAGACCCAATTCAGATTGTTCTCCTCTAACACAAAAGTTAATATTTTAAAAAATAAAACGAGCAGCCTCTTACATAAGCAGGTGTTGGGGACCCCTACATAATAGTTAACAATAATAAGTACAATCTACCAAGCCTCTGTGGCAGGTCAAGCATTATGCTAAGGTCTATGTGTGCATTAATTCCTTTAATCTATGTAATACTCCCGGAGCACATGGAAGTTAACAGAGGAGCACATGAAAGTTAAAGAGGAGATAAGTTTAAGGCCAACTGGTTGGTGAGTAGATACTGGATCCATCAGACTCTGGGACTCACGGTCCTCAGCACCTTCCTCTCCCTCATCAGTGCCACTGGGGATCTGAACCACACCATCTGCCTGGGGATGGCACAAGTTTCATCAGGTGTTTGGGAAAGTTTTAAGCCAGGACATCTCTAGACTTACTCTGGGAACCCCAAGAAGTCACTTACCAGATTCTCTCTGGATCTAATCTTTCCACTCGTCAACCCCCACTCCCCAGCCTTTCTGAAATATACCCAGTATCCATGGCACAGACAGGCTGCTGGGTGGGGAAGAGGGCTTTCTAAGTGAGAGTATATTTTAAATGTTGGCTGATACCTGAGGCCAGGTGGGAGGATAAAGAGAGGGATGCCAGAATTAATAGAAGATGCTCATTTAGGACAGGGCCTACTTTTAGCTGGAAAATTGTTGTGGTCACTTTAACTGAGTGTGCATCTACCATTAGCACTCATCAAATGACATGGAGAGCTTCCAGAAAAATCAATAAAGGAGGTCCACACAGTCTTTACTCCTTTGTGGGCACTGGGGCCTTAGAATTTGTGTAAATCTCTCCATTAGTTGCTGACACGGATGGCAGTTTTGGCGCCAGGCAGTTCACCTCTACCTCTCCTCCCACACTTTGCCTGACAGCTCTTCAGGAAATGGCCAGAATGTCCTCCCAAAGTCAACCTTTTCTCACAGGCTGAGCAACCTTGGTGAAGCCTCAACTATCTCTTCTGGGTCTTGGTTCTCTACCTGGTAAAGAAAGGTCTTGAATGAAGATTCCCCTCACATGCTTGGTCTCTGTTTACCTGTGATTCTAAGTTTCCCAATGGCTAAAACGGAAACCACCTCTTCCAAGAAGCTCTCTCTGATAGCCCTGTAAGGAATGATCATTCTCTTCTCTGAACTCATTTTACTTTTAGGAATCTGGACACATGCTTTCTGGTTTTCGAGTCATCTTACCACACCCTCTCCCACCCCAGACTGGATGCTTTTTTTGAGATGGAAGACTCTGTCTGGGTCATCTGTGTTCTGTCAGCAGCTCACTCCATGCCTTGCCTAGAGCAGGGACTTATTGTTTCATGAATGAGCACATGAATGATTAGTGGGATCAAAAGCACTGGTTTATGTCTCCACAGCTAGAGGACAGAAAGGATCAGAAGACAGCGTGTGTTCTCGGTAGGGTAGGAAGAGTAGGGCCTCTGGACTCGGGGTCATTCTGATAGCAATTACTAGCTGTACATTTGGGCCAAATCCCTCCACCTCTGTGGATCTTACTTCCCTCATCTGTAACTCTCTTTAAGTATATGGTCATACTGAAAAGCCATAGCAGATACACCACACGTGGCACAAGGTGGCTTTCCAAATGGCAGTTCCTTTTTCAGATGCTGGAGGGTCTAGGAAATGATGTCAAGGGCGAAAAGTAGAAAATGACAAGAAGTAAAACACAGAAAGGTCAGAGAGAGATGGTGCCCTGAGGGCATCTTGACCATGTACCAAGAGCAAGTACGATGAAGGCTCAAAAAAGCACCAGTCCTCCTGCAAACCCCTGGCAAGCCTACTCAGAAAGCATAAATCCCAGTGGGCCTAGCACTGCCCCTACCCCTCAAGCCAAGGCTCTGACCCCAGATTTGGAATAAGTTACCCCACTATGGGAAACAAGGAGAACAATGGTTCCTAGAGCCCCCACTCTTGTGTTCCCCACTCACCTCTAAACTCACCATCTCCTCCTTCCCTGGCTAACACAAAGCCCCTACACTTGAACAAAAAATTCTTCTAATGAGGAAATGAACATCTGAAACGGGATCCTTTCTCCCCCTCACCCCCTTTCTGTCTCTGCAGGTTTTTATTTTGCCAGGGGCTCTCAGTCCCTAGTTTTCCTGTTGCCTTTGGAAGGCGGCTAGCAGGGTTAGCAAGGTAAAATGTTTACACATCTGTAGTGTGCCCTCAGTTCAGAACCTTCCTGGCTTGGGACCATGGCTCAGGGCACCTCTGTTTGCAGTTGAGAGATGAAGGAAATAGTAAGCAAAGGCCAGACTGTGACACTGAGCACATGGAGCCAGGACTAAGAGGTGGCTGAGCCCCAGGAGGCAGAGAGAGCGTTTTCAATGGAACCAGGAGGAAACACATTAAGGGAAATGAGAACCTTGAAGCGGTGGCTTCAGAAGTTCAGAGGGAAATATTTACCTGAAGTGTGAGTGGCGAAAGGAAATCACTGACTCCAATAGGGATGGGATGGGGGATATAATGGTGACAGCGACTTATTTCTGTATGAAAATAACTTCAACAGTAGTCACATTTCAGTGGCTGGAGGTAGGGGGGGCGACACTGTGAATCACCAGCCCAGGACCAGGGCCCTGGAACCAGAGATCTGGGCTCAGCTTGCTGGATGGACTTGCCTGGGAGAAGTCACCATTCCCACCCCATGCTTCTGGGCCTCATTTCCTTTCTCTGAAAAAGGAGGGGGTTCACATGAGATGACACCCCCACCACGATTTAAGAGCTCTTTTGTTCTGTTAGAATGGTTCCTTGTAAGCAGAGGTCCTCAAAACTGTATTGCTTTGAACCGGATGCCTCGTCACTCCCGATTGATTCCAATGTGCCTAGGTCCCCTCGCCTCTGTGTATCTCCACACAGGGCATGGAACAGTGCTCTCTGGAGGACACAGGTGTACCCGACACTTTCTCCCGTGGGTTCTCCCCATGGTTCTCCAGGAAGATAGAGATGGTGAAAGATGGTGAGAATCGGTCTGAGGCTGACACCATCTGTGTAGTACTGGAGGTTGATCCCAGGGGATGCGTGCCCACCTGGCAAGATGGAAGCCTCAGGCGATTGTGCATACATCCACATCTAATTAGCACACGCTGCTCAAGGCTGTCATCTCGTACAAGCAGACAGCGAAGGTGGGAGAGAGCCTGTTCCCCAGCCCAGGAGGTATGTGGGGCCCACTGCCCAGGCGGAGAGGTGGAAGCCCAGCCCAGGAAGGGGGCTTGCCCTCAGCTCCCATAGTAATCACTGGTCCCTGGACCCCCGGTCAGCTGGCCTCTCTAATGTGTCCCTTGCTTCCTGCAGGTAGGCTTACTGTGCAAAGGGCTTCTAATCCCCACCTAGAAGTTTGATGATCACTGCCTCACTTTCTTCTCATCCACCCCCTAAGCCTCACCCCAGAGGTGAAGACCTGAGTGAAGGGGCAAGTCCAATGGCAGCAGGCTTGGAGATGTCTCCCCAAAACTCGGCCTGGGTGGGACTGGGAGACTCCTCTGGGCTTCGGGGTCACCCTCTAAGGTCACATTTTAAAGACATTACCCCAGGGCAGCTCTGTCTGACCACTGTGTTCCACCCCAGGGACAGACGAATCTTTCATACTTCTCAATCACTCACCCAATGTCTCTGTTTCATCCATGTGTGTCTACTTGGTTCATTGTGAAATGCCCAGCACCTAGCACAGAGCCTGGTGCCTTGTGGATGCACCACATAGTTTGTTATTAGAAGAAAAAAATAAAGGGAGGGAGGGACACCTCTCTATTGCTGGCTTCTTTAAAGAGCAGCGAACCCTTTATTTAGACCTTTCTAAGTACCATGTGCACTACATTAATTCTCTCACTTAATCTTCACAACAAAACTATCAGCATTGCTCCTTTTGTCAGCGAAAACCGAAGCTCAGGGAGGGGAAGAGGCTGGTCCAGGGCAACGCGGTTTGGAATAGAGGCCCACAGGATTCCTAGGCTCAGGTTCTTAATCGCGTCATTGCTTGAAGCGCCAAGTGTGGGCTGTCTGAAGGCACGGCCCCTCCAAAAATATTTCTATAAGTCCCACAGCGCCAACACAAGCAAGTTGAACTGAACTACAAGCCAGGAGGCTGCTGTCTGTGTCATTCTTCAGCCTGGGCCTCCAAAACCGACTAAGAATCAACGG